GCCATTTCCAGCAGATGTCAGATGTCATGATTCACATCAAAAAACAGGAAAATACTGCATGTTTTCTCTCATGAGAACCTAGATTTACATACATATATGATATATGTGTGTGTGTGTGCGTGCGTGTGTGTGTGCATATATGACATGGAAGCAGAAGGCATTATTCGGCAAAGGAATCCATGTGGGAAGTGATGGGGAGGCTATAAGGAGGTGAATATGTGTAAAGTACGATGATATATATGTATACAAATGTCAGTGAGATCCATTATTTTGTAGCCAACTGAATTTTTTCTAAGGCAAAAAGAATAAATTACAACTAAGAAAAGTTGGTTTTGAAGAAAGCAGTGGATAGGAAGAGCTTAGGAAGAAGGAATATGAGATCCCTGCAAAAGCCCATGTGGAGATCTCCCGTAGGCAGTAGATTTATTGGCGTTCACAAAGGCCAGCACTGTCCTCATAATTTCTGGACTCAGCAGCACAGAGGTCAGGAAAGCTGTGGGCAGGTCTCCCCGAGAGTGAGAAGAGGAAGGGCAGCAGGTGGAACTTCGGGAAACTGATATTTATGCAGGGGACAGAGAAAGAGGCTAAAGAAATGATCAGAGAGATGACTAGGTGAATGTGATGCCAGCCGCTCCATGCATCTGCCCAGCCTTCACATGCCTCCTGCCCACACACTTAGTCTGCACAGGGTTACTCCTGGGACATAGGCATGTCAGAGACAGATATAAAAAAACCACAGGAATGAAAAGTTTGCAGGAGGGACAAATTAGGTATATTCAAACATATTTAAAAGGGAGAAAGGCTAAGAAGAAAGAAGATGAGGTTGTGTTTAACTGCCTTCTTTTGCATTTTCATCCTATCTCAGTGCTCCTGTGGTACATCCTGGAGGATTTTGATATCTACATCATCTTTTGAGAGACATCTTCCTCAGAAATAGCTTTTGACAGGAACAGCCAGGGACTTTTACATGATATGAAAAATGGAATATAGTACCACTTCTTTGTATTACTAAAGAAAGTAGTTGTAACAATTGTCTGAAACTGACCTGGGAAAGCAGGGGGACAGGGATGGATACTTCTCGATGCCTTAGGTATAACTGCTGTCATCAGGCTGACTGGACTTTACAGCCAGCTAAGGAATCTTTTAGCACTGGGTCTTTCAAGGGCTCACACAGCTCTGTTATGCCTTTACAGAAATATACGTTGCCATCAACTGGAAAGTGAATCCCTAAAAATGTTGTATTATGTGGAGGAATTATTCATAGAACTTTCAGATACCTTCCAGGTAGGCTCTGTGATGGAGGAAGTCTTCCTTGAAGGATCTTAGACTTCAGATAGAGCTCTTACTATGAAATAGCTTCCGTAAAATGATCACCCCCAATAAAAGTCACCAAAGTAGTGTAGATGTTTCCCAAACCAGCACAGAATTAAGGTTTCATGAGATGTTATACTTCTAGAAAGGACTGAAGAAAGAAAGACACAAAGTCTCCAACCCAGCACTTGCTTTCCTGCTGTGCTCTGGTCAGTGAGGCTTCTCTCTAAAATCTCCTGGGTGGCAAAGATGTTCTCTTGAACTTTTTGGTTCACCAACCTTCTAGCTTACTTTTTCTTCTTTGCCTTATTGTTTCATATAAAATAATAACCTCTATTCACAGTAGGCCAGGTTACCACAATGATTTTGTGACCAAATAGAATAAGACAGGTTTGTATTTATAATGCTTTAACTCGCCTTGCCCCGGTTTTCAATTCCACAGTGATATACTTTGATTCCTATTTATTAAGGAGGTATAACAGGAAGAGCTAGGGGTTCTAACAGTCTTGAAAAAAATCTATTATGAGCATATCAGTCCTATCATAGGTATATTTATTTAGGCATGTAGAAAATACTGTGCTTTTTCAGGCCGCTTTCCCAAGTCATCCTGGGAAGCTGTGCGTTGACAATATAATTTAGCTGTTTTTTGAAATATTGCCAGTTGATGTTCCATTATGTGTGCTTTCATTTTATGCTAAACGTGTCTTAAATAAGAGGCTAATGGATACCTCATTTGCATGTGTATGTGACATATGCCTATGTATATGGCTGTGTTTGGGCGTGGGTGCTCACTCCCAGAGGCCAGAGGAGGAGGATAATGTTCTGCTCTATATCTCTCTTGCCTTAGTCCCAGAGATAGGATCTTTCACTAAACCTCGAGCTAGGCTAATGACCAGTAAGCCCTAGCATTCTGTGTCTCCACTCCCCAAAGCCCTGGGGTAACAGGAGCACAGGGATCAGGGCTAACTTTTTACGTGTTCATGGAGATTTGAACTTAGGTCCTCATGCTTACACAACAGCAAGCGCTCTTATCTACTGCACCATCTCCCAAACCTGAGATACCTCCTTTTGTTTGCTTAAACTTCTGTTTATTAATTTCATTTTTTAAAGGATTCTGAAAATATGTTGGAAAGAATTCCTGTCACCTGTGCTGAAGAGCCATTTACAAAGCAATTGGACTACTGGGCATTGGTCTTTGCTCAGGAGCAGGGCCTGAGGCCTCTAATGATGCTGTCTAATGTTCAGAGCATGATGTTAGGGGTAGGATCAACAACCAGACATCAACAATGTGGGAATATTTTAATACTTTAATAGCCAGTCCTGAGGGACCTGAATGTCCTCCCTGACAGCTCCATGTACAGCAAAGGTTATATGTTACATTCTATTAGGGGTTGACAGAAGGAGACATCTCCATGGTGTAAAATTATAGCTGGTTCTTCCAAGTCTGCACGGCCTGTAAGTCTTCTGGGTAGAAAACTTTTCTTTGCTCCCCTTCATAGAGAAGTCAAGAAAATCTGAGGGCATCTCTGCAGTCTGGAGGGTCTTGTCCGTTGGACAGAAACTGGCCTAAAATACATGGGGTTATCCTGGTGGGTAGGATCCTGATCTGAGCCTTACTCAGCAGGAGAATAGTGTTGGGAGTCGGGGATCTGGCTGGTTGGCATATGAGATGGTTGGTCCCAAGCTAATTACTTGCTGTCTTCAGGAATCTAGTTCCAGGAGGGTGGTCTCTCAGAATAAGTATTGTTCCAGCTGCCAGAGAATCAGAAATAGAGAAAATAAAAAGGCATAATTAATAGTGTTGCTAACAGTGGGAAACTCACTCCTCAGCCCAATTTCTACTTGAGGCTCTTCAGTTAGGTGTGGTTGCAATCCTGACTTACAGCACTGAAAAAATATCAGATGAATCAGTATGAGGCAAACTTGGATTTATTAAGAAAGACATTGTGCATGCTTAAATTTAGACATGGGTGGAGAGAAAAAGGGGGAAGAGAGGAATGGGGAGAAAAAGAGGGAGAGGGAAGGAAGAAGAGCCATCTTAGTTTTTAAACAATAGCTCTATATATGGCTTTGTGGCCTTTGAAGTTTCATTGCTCAAAGGGCATAATTTATAACCAGGTTCAAAGATCAAACAAAATTTAAAAATTAAGTGAAAATAATTATTGTCTGGTTTACTTTTACAGAGAATTCCAATGTGGTTTACCAGGTGTGCTAGATAGCTTTAGTGTCAACTTCGACACACCTGGGTTGAAGGAGCCTCAATTGGGCAATTGCCTCCATTGGACTGGCCTGTGGCCATGTCTGTGGGGCATCTTCTTGATTGTTGAGTGATGTGGGAGGGCCCAGCCCACTGTGGGTAGTGCCACCCCTGGGCAGGTGGGCCTGTGTTGGATAAGAGAGTAAGCTGAGCAGGGGCCAGGGGAGCAGGCCAGTAAGCAGCTTTCCTCCATGGCCTGTGCTCCATCCAGCTCCTGCCTCCAGGTTCCTGCCCTGAGTTCCTACCTTGGGCTCCCTGATGAACTGCGACCTGGGAGATGTAAGCTAAATAAACCCTTTCCTCCCCAAGTTGGTATTGGTCAGAGTGTTTTGTCACAGCAATGAAGAACAAACTAGGACACCAGGTGTTCAGGCTTAAGGAAGAGAGAGGAATGTGGGAAATGCACAACTCAAAGGTCTCATGCATGATAGCCTTAGGCCTGGTTTATCTGCTCTTCTAATTCTTGATTGAGATATTTCTCAGAAAAAGGATTATTGTCTCTGGGTAGGCAATCTTCACAGTGCTTTTTTGGATTGTTGTTTTTAAAGCCTGTTTTCAGAATTCTTGACTCTTACCTAGGGAGAAATGCATACCAGGTGGAAGGTGAGGGGCTTCTTTCCTTTCCTGTCTTCTTCATTTCCCTCGTCCTTTGATCCTGCCTCAACCCAATGGTCACCATTGGGAAATAAGGCAAATACGACGCTAGATTCCTAAAAGCCGACCTATTCTTTCTGTTTCTTTTGCTCTCTTTTCAACTGTGGGTACATCTAACATTGCACTTACTGTTAATAACTATAGCGAGGTTTATGAGGACCTTGCTATGTGTGTTAGGGGTGGATTGTGTATGCATCTATCTGATTAGAATGTACACACCTCATTTAATGTGTGCTGTTTGAATCCATTTTATAAGGAGCCTTCAGATGGTTCAAGTTTAGCCAAGGTCACAGGTGGTACTTTTACTCTCTATGCTAGACTCTGCCCCATCCCATTTACTGTTCCCCAATTCTTTGTGTTTTGACTAGTTTTGACATTTCAGAATGCTGACCAGCTTTTCCCATCTATGTATGTCCAGGCTCCAACACAGAGTAGGCACCATACAAGCAAAGCCTCCCACCTCTTCTCTTGAATTTGAGCAATCTGAGAAGCAGGCGGGCTTCCAGTGAGAGAGCTGTCTCTAGGAAGGAGTTCAGAGTTTTTTGCTCTTTATTTGACATTCTCTAAGAAATACATGACTGCAAATGGTTGTGTGACTGGTAGCATTGGTGCTTGACCTTGTGGGAGACTTCCTTTAGAGAACAGTATGTACAGTGTGTCCTGGCTTCGAGAAACGCAAGTGAATGGACAGAGCAGACTGCAGCCGGGATGTCAGGGAAGGAAAGGCCAGCTACTGTCCTCACATTGAATTTTCCTAATCAACGCCTCTTTCTTCCAGCTTGCCATCCATCCTGTCTCATGTGTGCAGGGAAGAGCGCTTACAACTGCACAGTCTGTGGGCCTGCCTATGTGCTGCTGTCTGGGCGCTGCCTCTCCCAGTGTCCGGAGAGCCACTTTACTCAGGAAGGTATTTGTACGGGTGAGTGTGCGACCTGCAGGGGAAGAGTCCCTGTTGTTGCCCCAGAGTTCATTGAGAAGCTAGAAACCGTAACTTAAAACTTCACCCTACCAGTGACTGGGGCTGGACTCAAAATCCTAGTCTCAAACTTGATAGTGTAAAGATATAGATTGAGGAGAATAGGGAGTTTCTCTTCTTCCAGTGAAGAGGTGTGGACAGAGTGAAACATTATAACCAGCATTGCCATAAGACTATAATGCTTGAAGACTTGGGTCCTTAAGTCACCCTGAACTGGGTTTTCTCTCGCCTGGAAGACCATGACCTGGATACATAAGTTTTCACATAGAATAAATAACAACTTTTATGTCTTATAAGAACCAAGACTTAATTCAATGCAACTCTTTGTTACTATAGCTCTATTTAAAGATTAAGGTTTATTTTTCTAGTTATCAAAGAATGCGTACTCATGGTATCAGATCTGAAAGTTCAGAATACGAAAGAAAATGGGACTTTGAAGGTGAAAATCCAACTCAAAAGCAACCACTGTTGACCTAGTGATACAGTCTTTTCTGATCTACCTTTTATGCCTGCTATTCTATAACTGAGAACAAATCAGAGCCGTTCCTTTTTACATTGCTCTCAGACATTAAGCCCTAAATAAATTCCCATAATATGAAAGTTATATATAAAGATGTGCATGTTCAACTGCTTTGTGAACTGTTCTGTATACAATTCTGTTCTTTTAACCCCCATTCTTTTCACATAAAAAAAAAAAATGGAGGAAGTATTTGAAATGTGAGGATTGAGACAAAGTTGTTCAAGAGCCTTTTTACTTTATCTCTCTCTAGAAGGTCCTACTCTGGTTATCTATTGTCAAGCAAAATTAGTGGCTTAAAACAACACAAATTTAGCAACTTGAAAACAGCATATTATCTTTTCCAGTTCCTGGCCTTATGGGTTCAGCTGGGCAGCTCTCTCTTAGGATCCTTCAGGCAGGTTTAGATAACCTGTCACCTGGGTGGGTCAAGAATCTCTTTCTCTTAGTTTTTTAATGAGGTCAGTTCTTATGTTAGATTGAACCTCCTCACAATATGGCAGTCTCAGCTAGCCTTCCTCCAGGACAGCTGTCTTCTGGAGAGAATAGTCTAAGAGACCTAAGCGGAAGCTGCAAGCTTCTTGGGACCTGGCCTCAGAAGTTTCACTGCCACGTCTGCTATAGTATTGGCCACAGCAGGGCAGCCCGGCCTGAGGGGTGAAGACGTAGAGCCTCTCAGAGGAAGAGTGGCTTATGAATGTGGTGACAGGTGGATGTGCGGTAGTGACCTTGGAGACTTTGCGGATGCATTATGAAGCGTGAGTCGTGCACAGGTAGGGCAGCACTCGGCTTTGTTCTGCCCTGCCCACAGCAGAATAAAGCAAAAGGAGAGAAAAGTGTTTATTTCCTTCCGCAGCGTGTCCCTCCTGTTCAAGAGCGCCTTTCTATTTCTGAGTCAGAGAGTCTGGAAATTACAAGTTTAGATCAGTAAAGCATTTTACTGGAATTGACAAGATAGTAAAATTTAAGCACCCTATGGTAGTTATTTATTCTTATACTTGCAGGAGGGAAGAAAGACAAATACATTCTCTCAGGAGTTCTACTTTGTTTCTTAAAAAAAAAAAAAAAAATGGACCTCTGGGGTTGACAGAACTGTATTCTGTGTGTTTCTAGGGTCAGAAAGCATGTAATAAGCTTGTAAAAGATTTTCAAAACTGAATATATGTTGGATTCATCTGGCCAAAGCTTCACAGAGGAAGTATGGAGTAAATGTAAATTCAGACAACTGGAGATCAATATTATGTTCATTCTGGAATTTTCTTCTTTTGTACATACCTTTTTAATCTCCAGGCCTGAGCTGCTTTCCTTTGAACTGTCCATCAGCTCTGTGGGAATAACTGCTTGGCTTATCTGTAGGGTTGTCCTTGAAAGTTTCTGTCCTTAGGAGTTTTGTCCCGGCCCCATGGTTCCTGTGTGTAAAGTGCTTAGAGGAAGAGAGGTTGAGTAGCGCTGCCTCTTCTGTCAGGAGATGGATGGTCCCACCAGAGGCAGGGCACCCAGGTCACTGCAGACACACTGCAGGACAGGAGACCAGGGTGGCAGAGTCATTTCGGGAATGCTAGTATCTTTGGACAGTTTTCAAAGAGGAGTGTGTCAGGAATGCAGAGGGGGCTAGTGCCTTCTAATCAGCAGATCATTTTCTTGCTTATTTGATTTTTAAAAAACATTTTATCTCTTTCTGGCTTCTTGCCAGAGGGAGAGGCACTTGACTCTACTTGGAATCTGTGTCTTTGCTCCCTGCCAGCCCTGTGCCAGGAGGGAGTTTATTCCAGCAAGCTCTACAGAGCCTGTCCCTTAACTCCCCTCCTCTTGGCATCAGACAGGCTTAGAACTCCTCATCTTGGTGAGGAACACTTAGATCTCCTGCAGTTTGCTCACTCCTGCCACTCACCTTGGCAGCCTGGGCTTCCTTCCCATCCTTATCTTTATTGCTGTGCTCTTACGGAGGCCTACTTGGCTCTTTGCAGTGTAGTGCCTCTTGTTAATTTCATGGTTTTTCTGAGGAAGACATAACTTTGCCATAATTTTGTCCAAGGCTTTGAACTTCAGATGCAGCTTGTGATAACCTTCAGAGAGGAAAGTGTTTTTCTGTTCTTTTTATTTTAATTAAGTATTGGTGATAAAACTGATCCAAGTTGAGGCCTGCAAGTAGAGCCTGACTGGCAACTCATTCTGGTGAGAAGGCTCAGTGCCATGTGCTGTGTGTGATCCCCCACTTGTCTGCTGGAAATTTCTGAGAAGCGAAACACCCCATCTTTTCTCTGCCCCACTCTCTCACTGCATCCTGGCATTTTGAAGTAGGCAGGTCTTGCTACATGTGTTTCTTCTGGCTTGAGCTTGAACTAACTTAGTCACACAGATGGGAATGGTCCTTTGGCATAGGTGGCCTATGGCTCAGGATTTTACAGTTCTAAATTCCCTGTTATGTTTGTGGACTGTATTTTCATTGATCCCAGAAATGCAGTCTCTGGATCAAGTCTATGGATGTGCCACGCATGCTCAGGAATCTTCAAAAGATGACCAGAGATAGAGATTGCTGGGGTACTTTAAATACTTTGTGCATTTGCATGTTGAGTTGTTGATTCCAATTTGGCTTTTACTCCCCATCCCTACCCCCACTCCAGAATGCCACCCAACCTGCAGGCAGTGCCATGGGCCTCTGGAATCTGACTGCATCTCCTGTCACCCTCATCTTGCTCTTAGCAATGGGCACTGTAAGACCAGCTGCAAAGAAGAGCAGTTCCTGAACCTCGTGGGGTACTGTACTGGTGAGTAACCATACTTTGGGGCTCTTAGGAATCACAAGGAAGCTTCTGGGGGATTCACACCAAGTGAAAGGGGGCTCTTGCATTGGTCCCTTGGGCTCATACTATGAACAATCATTTCCTGGTAGATATTTGTCCTTTGTCCAGGAACTGAATTCCCTGTTTTCCCTCAGACATTTGATAACTGTGTATTCAGATGTAACTTCATTGTTTTGGTTTGGTTTCATTTGGTTTAGTTTTTTGTTGTTGCTTTTGTTGTTTGTTTGTTTTGAGACAGAATCTCATTACATATCCCTGGCTGGCCTGAACTTGTTATATAGACCAGGCTGGTCTCAAATTCACAGAGATCTGCCTCCTTCTGCCTTCCCATGTGCTGGGAATTAAAGGCATGTGCTACCGTGCCTGACACTTTCTCGTCTTTATTCAGTCCCAGACCACAGCCCATGGAGTTGTGCCGCCCACACTCATTCATGGTGTCTTTCTCTCTTCACTTTAGCCTTCTTGGAAACACCCTCAAAGATACATCCAGAAGTATTTCCATGATGATTCTAAACCCAGACAATTTGATAATAAAGATTAACTTTCACACTCGGTCTGGGCTCAACTGACCTTGAACTCCTGATGTTCCTGCCTCTACCTCCCAAGTGCTAGGATTACAGATGTGTGCTACCACATTTAACTTCAAATCTAACTTTTATAGAACTCTTGCAAATCCTGAAAAAAAATTAGAGTCTCATATTAATGAAGAATGAGATGGTTATAATACTTTTATATGCATTTTAAAATAACAAAATGCATTCTCAAAATAGTTGCTTTAAAAAGGGTTTCCCTCTGTCTACAGGATCTGCTGTCTGATGGGGAACCTTTGCCATCAGCCCAAGCACAACATTTTAGGGAGATTAAGCTAAAAGTAAGCCAGTTTCCTTAGGAGATGAGTTGATTTTTTTCCCTCTTCCTTCCTTCCTTCCTCCCTTCCTTCCTTCCTTCCTTCCTTCCTTCCTTCCTTCCTTCCTTCCTCCCTTCCTCCCTCCCTCCCTCCTTCCCTCCTTCCTTCCTTCCTTCCTTCTTTCCTTCCTTCCTTCCTTCCTTCTAAGACAATGTCTCAATATTTATAGCACTGACTGGCCTAGAACTCCCTGTGTAGACCATGTTGGCCTCAGACTTACAGAAATTTGTCTGCCTCTGCCTCCAGAGTGCTGGGATTATAGACATGTGCCACCAGGCTTGATTTTTCCTCATTTTAATTTAGAAGAAAGTGGGAGGGAGGGAGGGAGGGAGGGAAGAGGGAAGAGTCTAAGATAATCAATAATGTTAGAATTATACAGTGCTTGTGTTCATTCACCTATCCATTTACCAACAATACCAAAATATATATTTTTGTATATGCTAATGGATATATTCTCAGAATATAAGAAAAAAGGTGAGGAGGTGACCCTGCCCCTGGAAAGCAAAAGGGCTATTATGTGTTTTCTACCCTCTTTAAATGATAGAGAAGTCTTGCCTTCAGCTGCCACTGCCTGAGTTCTGTGGAGCTGGGCTGGTAGGCATTCTGGGATCCTGAATGCAGATGAGAAGAGTGAGCAAGACCTGTTGGATGCTGACCCTCTGTGTGGCTTGTCCTTGGGCAAGAAGGAGCTTTCACCCAATGTCTGCATCTCAGTCTTTGCAGGAAGTCAGGTGGGACAGCACCAGTATCTCTGTCATACAGTTTAGTTGGGGGGCATATTAGTCAATGTCATTGTTCTAAATGTGGTTTGTGGTGCCAATGCCCTGTGTGACTCATGGCTTTTTTGCACATGATCTTAAGGCTGGATAGCAAAGCCCACTGGATGGTGGGCATGATTTATCATCTAAGAAAACTGAAAACTTGAGTGAAGGACTGCATCTGAAAAACGGGATTCAGAGCAAAATCCCAGTCACAGAGACTGTGTGAACATTTACAGCACTGAAAGTAGGAGCTCAAAGTGGATTTGAGACTAGATAGTCAAGTGTAGTTCAGTGGTAGTTGTCTACCATGCACAAAGCACTGTGTAACAAACAAGCAAAGAAGCAAACAAACACAACTGTACCAGGTATGTGATGGAGTCTATTGTTGGTGCTGCCAACTGCTGTCAGGACTTTCTTGGGAGGTAGACAAATGGAAGATATTAGTGCCTACTACTGAAGGAGGGTCTGATGATGGCAGGTGCTATTACTACAGACTGAAAGCGTGAGTTTGACTGCTGAGTCTTACTTTAAGATATACAAAAGCAGCTACCGTGAGAACTAGGAAGTTCCTGATGGACTGTATTAGTCAGCTTTGTGTGACTATAGTGAAATACCTGAGGCAGCTAACTTATAAACAGAATAGGTTTATTTAGCTCAGAATTTTGAAGGTTCACACACGTCACTGGCTTCAGCTCAGTTCTGGTGAGTGCCCCCTCTCTCAGCTATATCACGTTATGGCAGAAAAATACCTGTGTGAAAGAGCTGAACATATTTCTGAACAAGAACTCAGAAGGAGAGGCCATGTTCCCACACTCCCCTCTAAAGCCATGCCCCCAGGGACCCAAGGAACTCCTATTAGATTGCCAAAGTTTCTATCAATTACCATGACCCTAGGAACCTACCCTTTAACCACAGTGACTTTTGAGATCTCAGGCCACACTTATACCATAGCAGGTAGTAAAAAGCATATTAGTGAATATTTACTGAGTTCCTGTTATGAGGAAGCAGAGAGGTATTTCAGGCTACTTGAGGAGATGAACTGAAGACAGTTGACATATAGTGTAAGTGATTTATTTGCAGAAAAACTCACAAGTCATAAACACAGACATTCGATGAAGGGAGAAGAAACAAGACATGGAGGTCTTCACAGAGCAGAGTTGTGTGATTTGCTTCCTGCAGATCAGCAAGGATTCAGTTAGACAGAGGGAGGGCATGCAGCCCCACCAGGCGGCAGACCTGGAAAGTCCAGCATGTCATAGAAGCCAGTGCATCATCCTCCAGTGTGCAGAGGATGCCGGGCATGAAAGTACTGCAGGAGCAGGTTGGGAAATTTAATTGGGACCAGAATAAAGAGAACCTGAAGTTTCAGGCCAAAAGGTTGAGATTGGATCTTGAGTACTATAAGAGTTTTGTAGAGCTGTGGTTTGACTATGAGTATATTATGGGTATGCAATCTGCAAGCTGTGGAAGATAGACTAGAATAAGGAGAGATTGGCATCAGGATGGCATGAGGAGGTTGAACCTGAACTCTACCCGTCATGACAGCTTTTCTTTTTCTAAGATGTTTTCCATGTAAACCCTAAAAGTTTTATGCTATGGCATATTTTATAAATAAATGTTTATATAAGGAAATTGGAAAGTTTTAATATTTAACAAGCTCTGTTCTCTCCAGTATCCAGAACACTCTTTGATAGTAAATTAAGTGATTAGGAGCTACATTAATTTTTTAACACTAATAGGGACTACTGGAATACAGAACCTTGGGACCAGGCTCAATGGTTTTGAAAGTCCCCAGTCTTAGAACAGGCCTCATGACGATGAGCTGGAAAGAAGCTTTAACTATCCATGAAATCAGGTATATTCATGATAGACTTTAAATGATGTAGCTCTTATATGCTCAGATATTTGTTGAGTAATAATTAGCATAGTTGTATTTCAATTTCAATTACTGAACCATCAGAGAAATGTGTTGACCCTGAAGTTTGCTTTGTCACTAGGTATAAGCCCTCTAAACATTTTTGCTTGTCTGTTGTGACGTCACACACGTTCTTCTGTGTCCTGGTTCATGCTTGTCTGTTGTGATGTCACATGTTCTTTTCATCTCCAGTTCATCAAGGGTTTAGCTGACTCATGTTCCAAGGCAGGAAGGCACTGTGAAGGCTGGAGAGAAGGAGAGATGAAGCTGTGCTAGCTGCTCCTAAGAAATGTAGGTTACTGAAGGGAAGTGCATTCATTTGCTCAGGCCACCATAACAAATACCAGAGACTGGGTGGCTTTAATAAAAGCACCTTTCTTGCAGCTCTAGAGGCTAGAAGTCTAAGATTAGGGTCTCCGCAGGGCTGGTTTCCTTTCAGGCCACTGTCCATGGTGTGCAGATGGCTGTCCTCTCACTGCTTCTCCATGTGGTTGTCCCTCTGTCTTCTGTCACTCAGCTTGGATTAGGGTTTTCCCTTTAGCCTCATATTAACTCAGTTATGTCCCTGATGGTCTTATTTCTATCCAGCCACAGTAACATTTGGAAGTATTAACAATTAGGACCTCCACCTGTGAATTGGGAGCTGCATCATTCAGCCTATAACACAAGGAGATCATATAATCTATGCAGAGCATGAGATCTGAGGTGAGCCTGTAGCATGGGGACCCAACCCAGACTAGAAGGTATGGCTATGGTGGCTCTCTGGAACATGTCACAACTGAGACGATCTTAAGAATAAGAATTAGAGAGGGCCACGGGGATTTGAAGGACAGAGCAATCCCACAGATCTGCTCAGTCACCCATAAATACTTAGATAGATTGCCAGCCCTAGAGATGGGCATGCTGGTTGAAATGGAAGGAAGTGAGACCTTTGAATATTTTGTATATTGGTTGGAGAAGAACTTGCTTTGTCATCAAGGCTGTGGAGGTCTTTGGAAGTTGGTTTGTTTGTATCTGGGGACTGAGGGCATTGGGTGAAGAGGGACAGGGTCTCCCCCAGGCTGGCCTGGAACTCATGACAATTGCAAGCATGGTGTGGAAGGTTTTTAAGCAGGAAGAATCATGGTTGCATTTCTGTGAAAAGAAAGATCTGAAGAAGATGGCTTAGAAGTTGAGATGAGGGCAGAAAAGCCTGTATTAGGTAATTACAGAAATCCAGATGGGAATTAAAGGCCAAGGGATGAAGGGGATGGAAGGGACATGGTCTTACTAGATTCAAATAATACATTATATTGGTCCAAGGCTGGTTGTTATTTTTTGTCAAAAAATGATCCAAGAGTGGCCATTTTATATGATTCAATTTAACAGAAGCAACAGAAAC